CGGGGGCTGGAGAGATGGCTCAGCAGTTAAGAGCACTGACTGCTCTTGCAGAGGACCCAGGTTTGGTTTCCAGCACCCACATGGCAGCTAACAACCATCTGTAACTCCAGTTCCAGGGGATCCAATACCATCTTCTGACTCTGCTGTCATTGCACAACACAGGTGCACTTACACACGTGCAGGCAATACACTCACACATATAAAAATAATAAATAAAATATTTTAAAAATTATGTGGCCAGGTGTGGTGGCACACACCTTTAATCCCAGCACTTGGGAGGCAGAGGTAGGCAGATCTCTGTGAGTTCAAGGCCATCCTAGTCTACATAGTGAGTTCCATGCTAGCAGGGGCTACAGAGAGACCCTGTCTCAAAAAAAAAAAAAGGCCAAAAAAGTATTTATGTATATTTGTATATGTATGCATCTCTGTGTGTATATGTAGGTGCCCATGGAAGCCAGGAGAGGGCATTGGATCCCCTGGATCTGGAGCTGGAATTACAAGTGGTTGTAAGCCACCCACCATACCTGGTGGGAACTGAACTTCCAGATGGATCCTCTGGAAGAGCAGTACATACTCTGAACCACCGAACCATCTCTCCAGCCCCAAGTTTTCCATTCTGGGGGGATAAACTTTGGATGCACACATTTTGATGGAATCCAATTTATCTATTTTTTTCTTTTATTGCTTACATTTTATCATATTTAAAAAACCTAGGCCAAACCCAAAGTCATTATATAGAGTTGTATAATTGTACCACTTATATTTAGATCTTTGGTCCAATTTAATTTCTATAGGTTCTATGAAGTAACTTCTAAATTCATTATTTTATGATGTTTTAGTAATGTTTGTTGAAAATATTTTCTTTTCTTGTTAGTCTTTGTGCCCTTGTCAAAAAATTATATATTGCATCTCCAGAAAAAACAAGTACAATATACATTATTATGAGAGGATTTATTGGGTGAGCATATATAATTGTAGTCTGAATAGATCCACAAAGGCCAACTGTAGATCGGAGAACCAGGGAGACTAGACCTGTTTAATTCAAGAAGCTGGAAGCCTCAGAACCTGAAAGAGGGGCCAACATGCAGTGGCAGCCTGAGGGGGAAGCCTTGGAATTCTAGAGAGGTACTGAACAAGTTCATGTTCAAAGGCTGAAGAATCTAAAATCTTATACCCAAGGACAACAGCACCTGCAAAAAGTACAATGGCTCGGGAATGGTTGAGCATTTACATGCGTGTTTCCACCTTCTTCCTGTTTGTTCTCTCTGCTCTCCCTGCTTCCACCCACACACTGGAGGATGCACCATGCAGTGCCGTAGTCCTCAGTCTACTTACCCACACATCAGCTGCCTCTGAGGACACTCTCACGAATACACTCAAAAGCTCCCTTTTACATGTCTTTCAAGCTGCCAATCAAGATAAGTCATCATTAGGATCAATATTTATGTCATGTAGTCGACTGTTCTGTTGTTAGGTTTGTAAACTGACCCTACTTTTTCTTGAAAGTAGGTTCTTTATTTAGTAATCTTGGTGAGCAGAAAGAAAGGCAGGAGAAGACACAAACTTTCAGAGGAAAGCTTCATAGCGTGCGATCACTCTAGACTACCATATCCAGAAATAGTCAAAGCAAGACAGATTATCTCAGTCTTTTGCAATGAAATAGAAATTTTCTTTGTCTATGACAAAAAGGAATCTAAAGTTTTAGAATAACAAATGAATAGCTTTTATTGAGAAGTTACTTTGTTCGATTGTTCTTTGTAGCATTTCATTTAGTTCTTATATCAAACCCCTAATGTGGCATTTGATGTCAGTGAAGTCTGAGTCATTATTCATCTACAGAAGTGATTTTAAGAAGCGTTTCCACAGCAAGCAGATAAGGGCAGCGGAAGAGGAGATGGGACGAAGTGAAACAAGGTCAGGACCCAGGATTGTCTAGTGAAGCATGGCTTCAGTCTGACCCACACAAAGCTACTGGTTGTAAATTGCACCCTGGATTGACCCACTATGAGGTCAAGGAATTGAGCTTTTAGCTTCCTTAATCATCAGCCATTGCCGAGTATGCAAACAGAAGAGGCTCTCTTCCTACGGGCAGCAGTGGTCAGGAGAGCAAAGGCAGTTCTTTCAAGTAAGAGTCTCAAGTGCTATCAGGTTGTGACCATGGCCCGATTATTGGAAATAAAAAGAGACAGAAGTCAGGGAGGGGCGCCCTGAAAAAGTAAAGGGAATCCAGGGATCTGAGCAGAGTATTCGTATGGTCTATTACAAATAGACACTATTTTTCCACTTTAAAGAGAAAGAAACAAGCATAGAAAATTAAGTTACAGTGAGAATGGATGCAAAAGGTTGACTCTAGAGTCTTTTCCTTCTCTCTTGGATGTGATGCCTTTAGTCATGAAGACAATTTTTCTGAAGCTTTGGTCTCATGAGCTCAAATTAATTATAACAGAGGAGTCTCTGTTTATCCAAGATTTCGCTTTCCATATTAGCAGTTATCTGTGGTAAATCACAGTCTAATAATATTACATGGAAAATTCCAGGAACAAATACTCAGAAGTTTCAAATTGCTCATTGTTGTGAGTAATATAATGAGTCCTTCACAGCTTTTGTGGGGGGGACATGAAGCATCCTTTTACCTAGCAGGTCTGCTCTGCATTGCAAATGCACCCTGATCTCTGGTAGCTCTCTGGCTTATCAGATGGATCATTGGAGTACCTGTACTTCTTGAACTCTACTAACCCTAATTTTACTTAATCATGCCTCAAATGCAAGCGCAGTGAGGCAGAGGGGGCACTAGGGTGTAGACCATAGGAGGGCAGATTGGCTTTGGTTCTAAATGGCAACACTGTGGGGTACATAGAGAACACAAATATATACAGAGTTTGGTACTGTCAACAGTTTCAAATATCCACTAGGGGACTTAGAACACATCCCATGGAAAAGGGAGGCTATTATAATCACAAGTGGCAATTTAGGATGACAACAGACTTGCCCTTCTCCTGAGAACTGCTTTTGCTACATCCCATAAGGTTGAGATACTAATTCTTTAAACTTTTGATGTCATTCAGTATTGAAGCCATCTCGTCTTAGGCTTTCTTATGTTGAAAGGTTACTGATTACTGACTTAATACCTTTACTTGTTATATGCCCATTCATCTCCCTTATTTCTGAAGAAAAGCATAAAGAACTTTGATGGTATTTTGTAGAGCAGTTTATTTAAAATTAAGGCCAAACATTTATTTAGGTCCTTATATGATCTTAGTTGCCATTTCTATTGATCGGTTCAATTGGAAAATTGCCAAATATTCACTTAGTGTCTGTATGACTTACACAAACACACTTCTTGGATATCAGTGGTCAATATTTTAAGAAATTAAAGAAGAAATTCCAGTATTTTTTTCTGAACATTTTTCTCCTGCATATGTGACATGAATAGATAGCCTTTGTGAATACAAAGACTCCATTGCAGAATGTACTCAAGAGTGTCTCTGTGAAGGCAGTACATTCTGAACCTTAGTACTAAAGAACTAAGCCCTAAGCAGTAAGCAGACTCTGAGGCTTCCAGAGGCCTTAGTGGTGAAGACTAGCATGCCAAGCTGTCTAGGTAAAAACCTCAGAACTATAGGTGTGTGAGCAAGTGGCTCTAACCCGAGTCCAGCAGTGACAGGTACTACATAAGAAGAGCTGTGATAGAGAGGCCATACCTTTCCAACAAGTGGTGCTTAAATGGGGAAGCTTTAAATACAGCTATAGTTTTTAACTGCTTTGATAAGATGGTGCTCTCCATAACTGATTTCCCATCATTCACAACTTTGGATCTCATTGTGTATGTGTGTGTCTGTGTGTGTTTGATTTATTATAAAGCTCAAAGGTAATATCTCTTTCTGTTGCTTCCAAAGAAGTTGCAGGGTTGGTGTGATGAAGCGATGGGATTCAAAGCAGGATCCTATCCCCGCTAGCAGATCTGTTTATCAAAAGAACAGAGGGTTAAATGAAGAAGGTCATGTTTCAGGGAGCAACAGATTCCCATCTCCACCCAGTGCTCTTCCTTAAAGAAAATCCAACTGATTTTTAACCAAGCATGACTTGTCATTTTGGATTGGAATGTTATTAATACTCTCTCTCTCTCTCTCTCTCTCTCTCTCTCTCTCTCTCTCTCGTCTTTTCAGGACAGGGTCTCTCTGTAGCTCCAGCTGGCCTGGAACTCACTATGTAGACCAGGCTGGCCTCCATTTCACAGAGATCCACCTGCCTCTGCCTCTGAGTACTGGGGTTAAAGACTGTGCACCACCATGCTGGACAGTTATTAATTTAAATAAATATCCTTTGCATTACTGTTTGGCAGAAGCTAGGGGATGTAAATAGGAGTGAGAATGAGAAAGTATCTTTTTCTCCAAGCTCAGGGACACAGTTTAGAGGCCATGAAGCCCAAGTGTCCAAGCCAGTGTGTGCCTAAAGGCAGAGCAGTGTGTGATGTGATGGGCTCTGTCCTCCTGAAAAGACTGCTCATCAAGCCTCGCATTATTTTGAAAGTAGGTACATCTAACCAGGCTGTGCAAAGACTGGCAAAGACTCCGGGTGTTCCTTCCCCAGGAGTGAGGCTTGTAGAGTCAAGGCTGCCTTGGCAGGTGTCTCAGGTCTCCTGAGAATAGAGATGGGAGGGGGGCAGTCGAAGCTGCTAGTCCCTCAGTGAGGGAGAATTAAACTTTCTGGGATCTTTCTTGAAGTTCGGGGTGAGCAAAGCAATCCTGGGCCTAGTGCAAGATGAGAGAAAAGTAATGAGGAGGAGAGGGACTCAGGGCTCAGGGCGTGACGCAGGCAGGTGAGGAAGTGAGCTTGGAGTGAGCATCTGCCCAGAGGGGAGGGGAGTTTGGTGGAGAAAGGCAGTGTGGCCAGAGCTGTAACAGAGTCCTTCAGCCATCCAGGGGCTCCGGAGTCTGCTGCTCCCACCCCGCGGCCACAGGTCCCCAGCCCCGCCCCGCTCCGCCCAGGACTCCGGGCTCCACAGGAGCCCCGCCAGGCGGGTGCCGAGGTCTGGGCAGCAAGAGGATGGCCAAGGTCCGGGAGCTGGAGGACGCCTTTCTGCAAGCGCAGCCTTTGCCCCAACTTTCCTCGGAGATCTCAGAGGAGTGCTGCGTGCAGCTCTTGGACAAGGGCTTGCTCACCTACCCTGAAGACAGAGCGTACCTGCAAACTCAGCCTGGGGGTACGCAGGTCAGCGGGGAGAAAGGGGGCGACCTGGAGCTGCCGGTGGGAGTGAAATCAGGTGAGTAGAGCGATCGCTCGACCAACTGTACATATCAGTAGGATGGTCTGTCGCACCCATTTTATCTCACCAGGAGAATGTTTGCTAACAACTCTCTATTGGGTACCCCATGTAACGAAAAGGAGGCCGATTTAGAGGTTGCTGAACTGATTGCGTATTCTGTTCTTTGTCGCTCCTTAAACTTGCCATCAGAAATGCATTTAAGCAACGGTAACTTTTCTTCTGAAGAAGAGGATGTAGACCATCACGAGAGCAAAATCAAAGCAGCCAACCAAGAGCTCTCTCAGAAGAAGACCATCACGCAGATCATGAAGGACAAGAAGAAGCAGACTCAGCTCACGCTTCAGTGGTAAGACAGGCCCACCAGCCAGTTTATGCACCTGCTGAGTTCACAAGCCAGGTCTTTAGGACCTTGGCTTTGCACAAGTTGTTTATCCCTGAAACTTTTTTGACAAATTTAAAAGGCCAATTAGAAATTTATCTACTTTTTTTCAATTGCCTATTAGCATAGTGATATATTTTGGTCTTGATGAAAATTGATTCGGGAAATATTATTGACTAAAACTACAATTTCTTCCAATGTAAGCAATTATTATTTTTCTATGATTATTTACTTAACATGGAATCATTTCAGCTATAACATATTTGTTATTTGGTTACTTTTATGTTCATGAGACATGATCTTTCAAAACAACAAAAGGTGGAAGGATGTTAACCTTGCCTTAAACTACATGAGGACAGATTAGAAACACTGTGTTGGTCATAAAACAGATGGACTGTGTCAGAAGCACAAAATGGAAAACTCAGTAGGGCATCACTACTAAATAATTGTTCAATTTTATACTATCTCTCATATGTTTTACTATAGTGAAATATCACAAACTGGATCTTGTAAAATCTTTTAAAACAAGAGATTATCAGTAGACCTTCTACATATAAAGAACATTTTAATATTTATCAAAATGAAAGAGAGATCTAATGTAAGACCATAGTATTAAACTTTCTTACATACTGTGAAGAAAGAGGCATAAATTTCTCTCCCAAATTCCAAGTACTAAATCTTATAATTTATCTATTTATAATATATTCTAAGCCTAAGGAAAAAAATAGAATCTATAATGCTAGTATATTTTTATTTATTTAAACATTACATTCCAATATACATAGACTGAAATTCTGTAATTGTGTGCTTGAAGCTTTACAAGCCTCTGAAATATGAAACAAATATTCCTCTAAAGTTATACTTTGACTGTTGAAGTTGGTGTCATGATTACTAGTCACAAACACATTACAACTGTAAATAATTGAACAAATATCTGGAATATTTAATAAACAACTTATTTGGATAACTGGGGAAAAGTGTTTTAATTTCAGATGTATTTTGGAAGTATTTTGAATGATCACTCCCAGTTTTTCAGTTCAAACTGAGTGATTGGAAACGAGCTTGAGGTTTTCTAAAACTAATAGCATGCTTGCTTATGTCTAGCTTAACTCAGTATTTTGAAGGCAAAACAATGGCTGTAACAATGTTTATAAGAATAGATAAATGGTGGGTGTTATTTACCTTCCATTAAGATGCATTTTAAAAATAGCTATTTCTAATAAGAACTTTCATGTTTTAAAAATTATAAAACACTGTCATTTTTGTTTTATTTCTCCATTCTTCTAAAAAAATGAGTGTTTTAATTTCATAAAACCCTAACTTGTATTTTGAGAAAAAGTTTAAGGCTAGAGATTGTCATGTGAGCATTAAAAATTCAAAAATCGAAGTAAAAACTATGGTTGATTAGTTGCTATTTTTATTGTCAATTAGGTATTCAATTCTTTTCAGGCAAGTTTATTTGTTTTGAAACACTACATCTTGGTTTTGTCTTTTTTATTCAGAGACAAATTTGTGCCTGAAAGTCTGGCAATACATCCTTAGTTTTTATTTTGTGTGTACTGAGAGTATGTTAAATCAGAAGTCTTGAAGGAGTCCACCCAATTTTAATCTGAATGCTTCAATATTATATTATTCTTGGGTTACAAATAATTATGATTTTAATAAAAATGAAATTAATATAAGTATTTTAGCAAAAATCACTCACTAAACTATTAGAAAAAATGGAACAGCGTCTAGAAGCTTTGATTTCTAGATTTATATTCAGATAATTGTAAAACAAAGGTATTTAGCATAGTACATTTAATTGCAAACTTAATGAAAATCTGTCTAGATTTTCAAAGTTTATACAGTTATAGCTATGCTGTAGAGTTGAGGCTGTATATGTTTAGATTCATCTATGGAGGCACAAGATCTCAAGTGTAGTAGATGATTTAGATAATCATAGCCCTAATCACAGTAAAAAGTTTTAAGACTGTAAATAGACTATTATCATTTAAGCTTATGTGAAATGAGTTTACCCTGGTATATATGTCAAACAATTGCATTTACATGTCTTCTGTAACTATTCAGGATTTAGAAGTAGTTTGTAGATTCAAATAAGTGTACAATCATCATCAGACTAAAGCCTGGCAGTCCTTTCATATTGTGGATGTTCTTTCAAAAACAAGGCATCTTCAATTTCACCATTTATATTCCTATATCAAAGAATAAACTGTGCCGAACAGTGAAGAGTTATAAATATTTTCAACGGTGGCCAGGATGGAGTGATTTTTTACATTAGCCATAATATTGTCATTACATTAGCAGACATTTGTTGTGGGTCTTACTCTTCTAAAATTAATCCTTGTATTGTTTGTGTTTGTATGTGTGTGAGTGTGTGTGTGTTTGTGCATGTGCTTTAAAACATGTGTGCGTTTGTGCATGTGCATGTGTATGTGTGTGTGTGTGTGTGTGTGTGTGTGTGTGTGTGTGCGTGCGTGCGCGCTTTAAAACGACACAGACATATAATCTCACAGTTGCTGTAGGTCCGAAGTCTAGATAGGTTACCTTGGCGCTAAGTCCACAGTCTCGCCAGGCTGAAATTAAGAAATTAGTTGATGTTGAAATTTCATCTGAGGTGTTTTTGCCGTTGTCTGTCTAATGTCACTGGTTGTTGAGAGGACTTAGTCCTTAAATTGTGGAACTGAGGCCCTTAGCTCCTAGAGATTACCCATCATTCCCTGTGGGTGGTGCTCCAGAGAATAACATATGCTCTTCAAGATCTGCTACTACGCCACACCTTTCCATAGTCCATTTCTGACTTCTAGATTTTCTTTCTAGAGCTTGCCAAATGAAATGAGGCCATCCAAGATAATTTCCTTTCTTAAAGCTAATTAAAAACATTTGTGCACTCTTTGTACATATTTTTGAGGCTCAATGTTCTGTTTTAGTCAGACATTGGGCAGTGGTAACAGGGTAATGAGCACACTCAGTCCTTAAACCACTATTGTTTCTTTATGGAAAGCACATTTAAATTCCTCTCTTCTAACAAAAGCCCACTCATTCCGGTCTACTCACTAACTCATTTATGTAGTCTGTTTTCAAATTGAACATGAAGTCATTGAGAAGAGGAGTGATAATGAAAGATTTGACCAATTTCTTGGCATTTTTTCCCCAGGCTTGAAGAGAATTACATAGTATGTGAAGGAGTTTGCCTCCCGCGGTGCATTCTTTATGCTCACTATTTAGACTTCTGCAGGAAAGAGAAACTGGAGCCGGCTTGTGCAGCCACCTTTGGAAAGGTATAGGACACCATTTTGCTATACTACCTTACAACTAACATGTCAGTCAGACAATATGGAAACGAATTCATCTCAGTAATTGTTTTAGGGACTGTTAAGACATTTGATCTACAAGCATAAATGAGATTTTACAATGGCTGTTTGGAACCCCTATATATCCATATTCTGATTGGTGTCATAGAACATTGGCTATCGACTGTAAGCTGAAGGCCAATCGCGCTCAGCAAATCTATGCTCTTCAAGGAGAGATGCATTCAAGAGTATAGGTTAGATTAGTATAGCATAGATTACACAGAGAAGCGAAAGTCAGCGAAGGTGAACCTGTTAATGCAGGCTATCATTATTTATGTAGTCCAACCATATGAGGCTCGAATAGATTTTTCTTCTATTAGTTAAATAGTTCTTCTAATTTGTGAGTATCTTTACACCACAAACTTAAAATATTTTTGATGGGATTTGTTACATTTCTTTCATTTAAAAAAATATTCTCATCATTAGGATGGGAATCCATGGAATTGGCATTATACTACTTACATATTTGATATCATTTTGAGAATCAGGAAACAATGTTAATTCCTTGATAAAACCTTCATTAAAATTCCTGTAGTGTGCTGTTGTCTAGGGATCTAGAATATCTTACTAAAACTGTAGGAAGCTTGCTTCTCAAGGATTGTATCTCATATAAACTGAAATTCAGACCTTAAGCAGTAGAGGGACTTATTGTCCAGAAACTAGTGACTACTATAGTCTGTTCTGCAGTTTACTGATTTTTTAGGGGGTGGTGGTGGTTTGAGAAGGATTTTGATATGTATCCCAGGCTGTCCTTAAACTCATTATGTAGACCTGGGAGGCCTTGATGTATGACCCCCTGCTTCAGCCTCCTCAGGGCTGGGATTACAGGTGTGTGTCACCATGCGTGGTTTAGCTTTCCACTTTAAAAAAGTAGTTTATTTATTTGGAAAACCTGTCTTTACAGAGACAGTGTGATATGGTGCATGCTAATCAAGTGGTCTAGGCTCCAGCCATGCCTGTGACTAATTTGTTGTGATACCTGCTAATAAACAATCTCAAGGTGCAGTTCACACATTGAAACTGAATGGTAGTTAGTAATACCATTTCTGGGTCTACTTTATAGCAGTAATTCCTAATGCATTTTGAGCATCTGATAAGTAATCCTCAAGATAGATTACATCAAGTAAAAGTAGATATGTTAGGATCTTCTATGGTAACTGATGCATTTCTGATGAACATGTATATGACCTATCTTTCATCTAGATTAAGTATTCCCTTATAGTTTACCATGTACTTTTCTAAATTAGTTGGTTATGAATGAGTTGAATCATTCTAAAACTTAAAATGATTGTCCTTCCTTTTAGACAATTCGCCAGAAATTTCCCCTTCTTACAACACGAAGACTTGGAACAAGAGGCCATTCAAAGTAAGGCACATGACTAAACAATAGCTTCCTCCCTTACGCATGCTGAGGTAAAATTACTATCTTTATCTGTGAGTAGAACCAGGTATTTTCTTCTTTAATGAAGTAGATGTTTAGCAACTATAAGAACTGAAAAATTAAAAACACACAGGTATATCTTGGAATAAGATTTAAAAAGCAAATTTTACAAAGAACAATCATATCTATAATTCTTTGTCCTGAAATAAGTGAAGTAGATAATTTTAATAATTTTTAAGCTGTTTTTGAAATCACCAGTGTCATGAAAGAGGAATATATAAAATAAATATAATGACCAAGCTGGACATGGTGGTGCATGTCTTTAATTCCAGGATTCAAGAGGCAGAGGCAGGAAGATCTCTCTGAGATCTAGCCAACCCAGTTTACATAGTGAATGCCAGCAGGTCAGCTGGGGCTACAGGAAAACCCTGTCTCCAAGGGAGTACCCAGGCATGCTTTGCTCTCTACTTCTAGTTTCCCTACCCAAGTGATCATTACCATCACTTCTTAGTGACCCATTTTCCCCCTGTGCACAAATGACACACACAAACGGCCTGTTCAAACATCTCTCAGTGTAAATAGAAACAACATAAGCTGTCCTGCATTCCACCTTTTGTCATTCTTAGCCTTTCTCCTCTTTTGAAGCTATCTCTGCAGAACCCTGTTACAGATTCTTGCTCCTCAATGTTTCCTCTGCCTACCATTTTCAGTTTCAAACAGAGCCAGATATTTCACACCGAAAAAGCATATCAACTCAGACCTGCTGTACCTTCACATTGTTCTGTTCTTTTTCTTCTCTTCTCTATGTAGACCAAGCTGGCTTCGATGTCACAGAGATTCTCCTGGCTCTGTCTCGTGAGTACTGGGACTAAAGGCACATACCACCATGCCTGGTTCTCTTTGCTGTTTCTTAGGAGGGCATTCACTTACCATTAGTTATCATTCCTGTCACCCACAACTAGGCATATTACCTTGCCTTGTTGAGCAGACAAGTGTATCATGGAAAATTTCAGATCATTTCTGCCGTTACTTATTTTCCTTGGTGCCTTTCTAGTGCTTGCTCTTTCTGAAAATACTTTTAAAATAAGTACAGAAACTTTCCTTCTGGCTTCTCAGTCACCAGACTGTCCAGCCCCCTCCTGGTCAACCCAGCTCCCCTCTCATCACTCTTTTTCTTTCTTTTTTTTTAAAATTTATTTTGTTAAATTATTTAATAACCACGTGATTAGAAGCATTTCATTACAGCATTAACATATTCAATAACAACTTCCAGAGCAAAGATGCATCTCTTTCAATATTGGCTGTAAATTTTTAGGTTCACAGTTGAATGAATGCAGTTATACAATATTGAATTCAGTATAACCCCTGTAAGACATAAAATTGAATGAGGTCTTAACCTTTAAAAAATATCTCCATTTCATTTTAAAATATACTGTTTCATACAGAAAAACTCATTTTTAATGCTACTAACACTTAGATGTTTGCACTTTTTCTTTTTTATTACTTATTTATTTATTTTTATTTTATGTGTTTGTGTTATGCCTGCATGTGTGTAAGTGCACCTGTTTTGTGCAGTGCCTGCTGAGGACAGAAGGGGGCATTGGATCCCCTGGGAATAGAACCGCAAGAACAGACACTGCTCCTAATCGCTGAGCCATCTCTCCAGCCCTGTCCCCATCACTCTTTTTCTAGTGGGCCAGCTGTCTCTTAACTACCGATGCAGTGCTGACCAACAGAAGGATAGTGCAGCCTCATATTGAATTAAAATTTTCTGGTAGCTACAAGAGTAAAAAGGAACAGGTGAAGTTAATTTTAGTAGAGTTGTATTTAAGACAGCATATCAAAACATTATTACTTAAGTATGAAATCCATATAAAAATTTAACATTTTACCTTGTTTTGTTCATAGTGAGTTTTCAGAGTCCCATATACATTTTGCACATTTCTGTTCAAGACTAGTCTCATTTCTAGCACTTTGTACCTGTGCCTAGTGGCTGCTTTACTGCCTAGCAGCTATAGTAACTTACAGAAAGTTAAGTCCTACTGTTTTCACTCTCTTGATGCTGTCTCTCCTGTTCTCACTTTCATAGTGAGTATATGGCTCTCCAGTCATTCAATAGTCATCCTAGTCATTCAAATTTTGTCTTTTTGAGACAGGGTCTCCCTGCATCCCCAGCTGGACTGGAACTCACTGTGTAGACCAGGCTGGCATCTATCTCACAGAGATCTACCTCCCAAGTGCTGGGATTAAAGGTGTGTGCCACCATGCCTGGCTTCAGTACAGTGTTTCTAAACTGACTTTACAAAAGTCAAATTGAATTATGTCTCTCCTATGTTCCTCCATTTTCACTGGCTCATAATTTCTACTCTTAAAAATTATTTATTTAAGCCGGGCATGGTGGTGCACGCCTGTAGTCCCAGCACTTGGGAGGCAGAGGCAGGCGGATCTCTGTGAGTTCAAGGCCAGCCTGGTCTACATAGTGAGTTCCAGGACAGCTGGGGCTACAAGGAGACCCTGCTTCAAAAAGACAAAAAAAAAAAAATTTTTATTTAAAAAATTTTGTTCGTATATTCACTCATTCACTAATTCATTGGTGTGTGTGTGTGTGTGTGTGTGTGTATGTGTGGTGTATGCATGCATGTGTACATGTGTATCACAGTATGTGTCAGAGGACAGCTTTCCAGAGTTCATCCTCTCCTTTTACCATATGGGTTCCTGAGATCAGACTTAGGTCATCAGGCTTGGCTACAAGCACTTTCACCGACTGAACCATCACCAGTCAACAACTTCCGCTCTTAAAGACAACTGCTTACCTTGATATTCAAGGTCTGTTTTGACTTAATTTCAACCCATTTTCCTATCTTATTGTTTGCTTCTCAATTTTTAGTATGTAGCTATGTTGCCACTAAATTATTACCCCTGTATCCTTTGGCACTGTCATTGTTTTATGCTTGTTTCTCCTGCTGAGGACACCCTTTCCCTTTTATATATGTTGAAATCTTAGCCATTTAAAGGAATGTGTTCCAAACATCCTCTTTGAATCTTTTCTTAGTCTATTGATTTGTTGTCAGCTATTTGCATCCTAATAGCCATTTGTTAGTTCCTTCCCTAAGCAGATAATATTTTGAGGGTAGATACTTTGCATCACTTACTTTCAATTCTTTCTGTTGTCTGATATATAACTGATTATCAATCAATACTTACTTTGCTGACTTTAGCTAATGTTAAAGATACTATGGCCTGGGAAGGAAGAATAAAATACCATACGAAGCTAGCTTCTTTTCAAAGTTGGCTCAGTTTAGCTTGATGATTTCTAAAGTGCTGAATTGTGTAAGTAGAGGTGAGATCAGATAGTGTTTGAAGTGGAAAGATAGGGGACCCAGAGGCAAAGCAATGCAAGAAATCCTTTTAACAGGATTCACCAGAGGGTGGATGGGTGGCTGCAGAGAAAGTCAGCTAACCCCAGCAGGAGCCTTTGGGATTAGTGATGAATCATTAACCCTGTTCATTGTGACACAGCCAGGCTCTGGTACTTAGGTTGATATAGCAACATTTGGTGACTTCTGGCAATTTATTTGATAATTCAGAGCCATATACATGCCCAGGGGCAAAACATTACGAATTTGAATTTTTCTACCTTACTGATATACTATTTGCTTTTGATGATGTGACTATTACATTTTGGAGTATTTTTATGTTGTAGGCAGAAGTACTGTCCCTTGTGTAAGCTAGTATATCAAAAGATACAGCAAGATATAGAGCTTATGCATCTAGGAAATTGTAATATTTTGATGTAATTATTATTATTCAGATAACATTTCTGTTTTTGTTTCCAAAAGGTATCTTTATATTTTATTTTGGAAGATAGTACATCAAAGAAAGCATAGTCTACTGATTAGGGTTAAAGCTAAAGCTGGGCCAACTGATGAATAAATTCCTTGCTTCCACAGGTGGCTATTTGGCACTGGATAGATTAATCAGCCTTTCTTTAGTAAAGTGGGTATTTGATACCTTAAATGATTGCCCTGAGAGTTAAATGAGATTAAAATGTAGGAAATTAGTGGCAGAGCAAATATGCTTTCAACCTCATCATTCTTTTATAATAAAAAATAGTGACTGAAGGCATCAAAAAATTGGCAATGCAATGAAAAGTTATTGTTTATTGAATTGTACACAGATACATATATACACATTCATTGTATCTAATCCTTCCAACGATGATGTGAGAGAGGAATTACTTTGTTTTACAAATGAGGAAGCTAGTTAGGAGGTTTTTGACTTGCCTAAACCCACAATGATACTACACACTAACAATGCTGGTATTTATATCAAGGTTCAGCAGACTCTGAAGTTGAAGGGTAGTAATGTTAGAAAGTGTACTCCTTTCTAATATCAATCAAATCAACAAAACAATTACTTCATTGAACTTTTTATTATTCTCTTTTTAATTGATAATTTTATTGACTTTTCACTGATCTAACAGTTCTTAAAATTTATTAGTATATTAGTTTCTTCCTCAAAGAGTTAATAACATTTTATTAATCTCCAATCATTCATTTTAGAGATATTTGTTTTACATGAAAGCAAATTTGTACCACTAATTAACCTATATTCTCAGTCTCTTAATTTTATCTCTAAATTCCTTTTATGTTAATATATTATATTATTTTTGCAGCCACTATTTCTGATAATGTTTAATATTTCATAAATTTACATTTTATTAAGAATATTTTATATCTGTACAAATATGAACAAATGAGTCAGAAATACAAAGTAAATAATTATTTTCCCAGTATTACAAGTCATTTTGTTTTTTTAATATTGTTATTTACTATTTTTATTTTATGTGTATGTGTGTATTGCCTGCATATAGGTAAGTGCACCCATGTCGTGCAATGCCCACGGAGGACAGAAGAGGCTGTCGGATCCCCTGGAACTGGAGTTATGGACAGTTGTTAGCTGCCATGTGGGTGCTGGGATTTGAA